TGAACAAATCACATTGTGGTGAAGTCCCTCAAATTAACCTAGTTCGAACATACTCTAAAAAAGCTCCCTTGGCATTAACTACATTCTTGATGGTCACCAGCCTAATTTAACAAAGTGAAAGACTTCGGAATTGCATTTTTTCTCCGCCTGTGTTGCCTAAAGGCGTACTAAAGACTTGAGAGATTTCCTGGAGGAACAAGACCTCTCCCACAAAGGAAGCAGGCGGTCGGTCGTGCATGCGCTCGCAATGTGTAGTCTAAAAACCTGTCACCCCTACGCAATCGTTCAAAGCACAGGCAATATGCAACGTAGAGGATCTGCCGATACGGGGGGAGTTTCAAAAGCAGTACATTAGCCAGACACCGCAAAACGCATGAGGAGATATCGAAACTTCAACCGTTTTTTAATGCCTAGTACTAGTTCGGAACTTTAATTATTACCTTCTTTGAACGAGAATTTGGTGCATATTGCCACAAAAAAAGGTACAAACGAATTAGTCCCTATGTTGCGTGTTTAACAGGTTGCGAGAGGGAATCAACGAAGGTGCTACCGTGTCAGAGTGTTTTAGGATACCGTATGCAAAGCATTGCGTTGATAAAACAAAAGCTTGTACCGTCATTTGTAAGCACGGTTGTGCACGCATCCACAGGGCCCATTATCCGTAGCTTCCAACCTATTAAAACTCAGTCTTACATTAAATCCGGTCATGGATAATTAAGCTCACATGCGGACGCAGTTATCACGTAGGGAGCATTACTGTTGGCATTAGTTCAAATACACACGAGTGTGTGTAGCTCTCCCAAATACATTTTCGTGTGAGACCCTGTTTAATGCGTTATGGCTGCTGCGCGTTGCGTGTATGAAAAAACCTTTTTCATGTCTTTTGCCTTGTGAAGACCGTGTATTTTGGATTAAGTAGATATTAAGGCGTTTGTTCTTAAACTTACGAGATAATTAAAAAAAAAAAAAAAACGAATGAGTTACATGGGCGCAGTCCTCACCGTGTATTTGTCAGGTTCGGCAGACATTAGATCAGGGCGACAACTTTCACGATATCTTGGTTTATTAACTAAAATCTGTAACTATTTAAATATTTGTTGAATGGATTATGTTTCGATTTCAGCTTCAAAAACAACCATCCTGACGGAATAAGCAAATTTCGACTGTTTGTGGAACGCCGGCGGCTTTCGTGATAGGTATTCAACGATCATCTATTGTATTTTTGTCGCCTGATTCTGAAACTTGGGCGTTGAAAGAGAGCCGGAACTTCCGTCCACAGCAATGCAGTAATGTATGAGGTAGTCGCTAAGCCAACCTCACCGGTACATCAACAGCGTGTCCTTGACAAATGAGCGGACGTCGCGCTGCCGAGATAATAGGAAGTTGTAGTCGATCGTTTTTCTCCTCCGCTGGGGTATCCGCAAAGAAAACGCCGGAACTGCCCATGCGCGCCGCCAGCCTTGTCTGCATAGTTCACGGTATTGTGGCGAATTCCGGAGCGCTGTCCGGGTGCTTAGCGGGCTGAGGAAACGGTCTACTACAACTCCCTATTGGCGAAGCGCCCGAAACGACGTCGCAATATTATGGATGGCAGTGTTCCGGTGCTATTTCTACGTCCAGCTTCATAATCTTTTGACAAAAAAAAAAAAAAAAAAAAAAAAAAAAACGAAAAAAAAACACACAATTCGTTGTCGCACATTTGAAATGTAATCATCTTCGCTGCAATCTTTTTAATTGGTTTAGGCTATAATATCGACAACTTTAAGAACTGAAATTGCAACATCTTCAAGCAGACCAATCGGTACAGAGTTGATTAAGAAATTCGTGTTAATTAGCACCCTTATCGTGTCGGCTGTCAATCCACCTGCGTCCGCTGAGCCCAATAAACACATAGTGAAGACGACCTTCCTGCACCTGGCACTCCTTTAAAATATAAAATAGAATAGAAAAAAAATAGAAAAAGACAACAATGAGATGGTATTGTTGTCTCTCAGACTCTCACGTTGTGTGCCTCGGTTTGCGCTTTGCCGACCTATCGCCGACCTATGGCACAAAACGGCGTATCATGATCGTTTGGGGACCCATATTTCCCGCTACAAGACATACGCGTAATTCATGCTGCGATCTGTTCCCAGGAATTCAGCCGTACTATCGCAACCTCAGCTATGTTTCTTGAAGTGGAAAATAGATTCAGCATCATCAGCATCATGTCGCGTAAGTTCGAAAATAACAAAGATAAAGTAGAGCGAAAAGTCTCTAGAAAATTTTTATGAACTGTTCCAATGATGGCTTTTCGAGCTTTTCGAACGGGCAAGAGCCAATGTTTCTTTAATGCTATAGCTATTTTATAAACGGAAGCTAAAACGGGCGGATGGGAAGTAAACATGTGAGTGGTTTACTGGTGCTTTTCCGCAGAAATGATAAATTGGAACAAGAATCAAAAGAAAGACACGAGGAAGCTTTCTCAAGCTCTGTTTGCAAGTGTAATGCTGTCTAGCGCCTTCTCTTTTTTATTTGGGAGGAGGGGGGGGGGGAGGGAGGGGAGGGGAGAGGGGAGGAAAGGGTGGAGAGGGAGGTTGACAGAACACCTCGTAGACATAAGGCCGTAGCGCTCCGAGTGGTTACGTCACAATGTCGGAGGAGGAAGGCCATGGCGCGCAACTACGTGAAAAAATATCTGGTATCGACGTGAAAAAAATATTGTCGAGCCGCGCACTGGTGTTCGTGCCCGTTTATCCTACATTGATACACGTTTTAAAAGCGCAGTCTTCTACAATTTATTTTATATATAATATAAACGTAATATACAAACAACGCGCTACCAAGGTTGAAAGTACCAAATTTATATTGATGATTATCCCCGTAACCGCGGGACTACGTGCAGTCCCGCAGCTCCCCAGACTTTCGAATGAACCGGTTCCGGTACGACATCTTCCCTCATGCGGGCTCCGAATCTGTTAAATTTACGTTGTGTGTGAGCTGCTGACTGTCAGAAAAGGAGCGCTGAGACATTTCAGAAAGGAAGTGAACCGAAGAAAAATTCAGTCATCGCCGCAGGGAGCGTACACGAGCAAGAGATGGGTCGACAACGTTAAGGCTTTGGTCTCACACTGCTGCATGTGCTCTCGTGTGTGGTTCTTTTGAGACTTGTTTCCTTCTTCCCGTCATTTTTCTGTCGTCACCGCAGTCTCAGGTACTTTTTTTCTGTTTGCTCGATACTACGGCATTTACGTGGATTCGCGGAACAAGTCCTGCTATGGTGTGAGTGGCATGTGTGGAAAATAGTCAACGATGGCACTGGTCGATTATCGATAGACCGCTCTTTCTCAATAGAGAGAGATTTCTTGGAGTTCGTGTTCAAATGTTTTGGTGCCGGATATTATGGGGCGTATGGGTACGATCGACAAGTGAGAAACAACTTATTTACGGGCTTTCTTAGTCATCTAAAACGCAATAAAAGTGCTGCAGCTTGTTTTTTTTTGTGTGTGTGTGTGATAGAGTGGAGTCTAGTTCTTCGTCGTTTTCAGTGTGCTGTTGCGTCGACATTTGCAAATATGCGTGGGAATATTCTACTTTTTTCTGGAAGGTGAATAACAAGTTTTTGTGATTATTGAAACGGCGTTGTTTGTGCTTACGTGTTTATTTATACTAACGTTATTTTATTTCCTTTACCACGTTTATGCTAGAATCTTAACTGTATTAAGGTAATAGTATTATTGTATACAAAATAAGTTTTATTTTGTTCCAAGGCAGCTCGAGCCCATAGGGAGAAGTAAATTAGTTGACTAAATAGTAAGTTTAGTACCCCTGCCACACGGGAAAGTTAATATATTTTCATTAAATGATATGGGATTTTCTGAGCTCGCGGTCTTGAGTGATTACACGAGCGTCGCAAGCTGATTTGTCGACCCCATATATTCATTGGATCAAAATTACATTAATTTTGCCATGTGGCCGGGGTATAATGCAAGAATTCAGTGACCGCACGCGATAACATCGCTTACATAATCGTAAGTGACACTTGTCTTCACGTGTCCGCGTTGACTACGTCTACCTGATCTTTAACTGTGATCTGTTTTGCTGTGTTCAATCACTGCGTGTCTCGCCATTTTATCGAAGTATTTCTGTATAAAATATGCATTCCCACAGCAATAATTGCGTGACTCACCGTTTTTGATTTAAAACAATCACATTTTGCTATAGACATCTTATACGCATACCTCGTGCCATTTCGTATCGATTATTTAGCGGTGTAATGTTTTGTCCGTGTAAAAAAATGTTTTCTAGACCCGTCGCCATGTGCAGATTTCATGTTAGCTAATAAGACAGGCGTATGCGACTAAAAGCGTGTTACGACGGTCGATCCACGCGCGTGGCCTTCGCTTTGACGCGCATCCCGATATCCTTCCTTTGCGACGTCACGAGAAGAGCGCTACGGCCTTCTTCTCTCGAAGGTGTTGGATGACGGCGTTTTGCACGAACGCATCTCGAGAACTGACAGTTTATGTCTTATAAGACATAAAAAGAAGGAAACAAAAAGGGAGAGGCAGCGCTGGCTTTGGATTAAAAGACTCCTGAGTCACGCTTCGCATAAAAAAATAATAAACGTAGCAAAATCAAAATAGAAAACGTATAAACAAGCGGTGGGGAACCAAATACTTATAAGAAAATTAGAAAATTTATCTCTCAGACAAGAATATTTCTAAAATGTACTCTTTAATTGGCCTTCTTGCATCATAACATGGACAAGCCCCCGCATTAAGATAAATATTAAGATAAATAACCTCTCAGATGTAGTTTTCTTAAGCAGATTTATATCATTTCATAATAAAAACCCAAAACTAAGGACAAATGATTAAACGGACAAGCACACACACACCTCTTAAGTTCACACGCTTGCCTCCAATTTTTTTTTTTTATCGTTATATTATTGTCGAGTACACGTATAGACATCCTTTCGACAGCAAGGTCAAGGCGGAAATATATTCGACGACACTCACGTTTCGCGCCATTTTGTGCAGCGAGTCGACGAGCATTTTGCCGGTTTCCACGTTCCGGACGATGAGTGGGCGTTTCGCAGAGTTGTCGCAATCCCCACTGCAAGAAGACAAAAGGGACGTTGCGTGAGCGCGCGGTAGATATATACAATGAACAATCGTATAGCTAATTTCGTAAGCGCAAAGCACGGCATCCAACGTTCTGCCCTTTCCAGCTTGACCATGGATGCTATAAAATCGCCAAGAGCTAAAAAAAAAAGCAAATGTAACTAATTCTGAGTATTTTATTTTCGTTCGGCAGCCAATGAAATTGCGGCCTTCGCCGATAAGAAAGTCAAAGAACGAATGAGGAGGCAAGATAGTTGACTTCACCCTGCGTTCCTTAATGCCAGTGACAAACAATGATTATGCCGACCAGATTAAGCAGTCGTGTGGGAGGAATTAATTCGTAGGTGACATAGACCAACCAAGAGTGTGGAGGCATAATATTAAAAAACATTTTTACTGAGTTTTTTTATATTCATTTTTAGTTGAAATAAGGTTTCTGTGACAGACAAATTTAACACCGGATTATTATTATTATAATCCCGTTACGCAATCCAGCAAGAGTTTTAATATACTTTCACCTGTAAGTGTAAAAGAGAGAGAGATAGACCATGAAAATGAACGTACAGAGGTTTTAATCGAGGCCAATTGTCCCGGTTCGTAATGGCACCTCAACTCTGGTTGGCATTTTCGTGTTCTAGTGAATGGTCTATCTATTCATATAGAGCAACACGCGGCTCTGACGTCAGGCCTCCACGGTGGCGCTGCTGTCGGCATGGCACATGCGCATATTCTGCGCAAGCGCAGTGCCAACACCTGGTGTGGGCGAAAGCGGCCTTGTTTGTCAACAGTGTATCGGCCTATAAGAGGGAGGTTCGTATCCGAAGAGGCGAGGTGTACGTTCCCTCTAGATTGTCGGTGGCGGGGCGCGACGGTTTGGCGTTAGAATTATCGAGTGAACTGGCTCGGCCTCGAGGGTTATGCCTGCCACTTCTCACCCGAAAAAAAAAGAAAATGCTAAAGTTAAATAAATAAATAAAAAAACGACACTTGAAAACAGAATGCGCGCATTGTTATTGAAGTTGATATCGCATATCAGGCATAACTTATATTTTTTTCCGACTCAGATTCCAGATTAAGATATCTTATCTTAAATTTTGTCGATCTCAAATTGAATCTGACAAGGTCTTGAGCCAGAGCTTTATTATTATTTTCGAACTTGACGGATTCGCTTATAATGATTTTTTTCATCGTTTCGAATTTAGCGGGAGAGACAGAAAGACGGCTCTATATTTTGTTTTTTGTATTGTTTTTCAATTTCTTTTTAATTTTTGCAAGAGCTTCCGTTACGAAAAGGGAAAAGCCGCCCACCATTTTTATGATGTAGGCACTCCCTTTAGTGTGAAACATTGATTCTGGTTATTGTGCGCCTGTGACAAATATCCAGTGGGCTTTCTCTACATGCTTGTAGAAAGATCTCGGGTTGTCAGTTGATCGTTCGGTCCTGATTTTAGGCGCTGAATGCAAACCCGCATAATCTGCAAGATGAACACTGCAATAGTTTGGGCACATTATGATGCAGTTTTTCTTTAAACGCTCTCCAGTGCAGTTGTGATATATGGGAAGGTTCTTGTATATTAAGAAACGTTTCCAATCGGTTTGCAGTTCAAACATCAGGAAGGTACTTCAACTTTATCTATCACATCACGTTTGGTGAAACAGAGGCTCAATCTTGGCGGGTTCGTAGGGTGGGAAAGTTATAAGCACTCGGTCAGTCGGTTCCGCTGCTTCACCATCTATGCCAAATGTCGCTAAAGACGGCGCTCTGCAATCACCCTATTTATCTATACCCTAGTTTCAGGGGCACCACTAACCTGAGTTAGGTGTGACTGAGGGCAGACGTAATTGCGATTCGGGGTGCCCGATGTTCAGTATATTTAGCCTTTGCTGTCAACTATACCCTGCCTACACGGGCAAAGTTAAGTCTGACCTCAGTCACACTTAACTGAGCGGTTAAAGTTGGCCGTGTAGCTATAGAGTAGTCATAATGTAAAAACAGCGCAAACAAACACGGACGAAGGAGATGAAACACGCAGACGGGACAAGCGCTGGCTCGCAACTGAAACTTTATTACTTCAAAAAGGAAAAAGAAGAAAATAAGATAAAAACACACACACCAGGAAGACCCCAAAATCAGCCTTCTCACTCAGACATGTACGTGTCAGCCCTTTCCCCTATCAGCACCATCACATCACCGCGTGGGCGACTTTCACCTAGTAATAAAGTTTCAGTTGCGAGTCAGCGCTTGTCCCGTCTGCGTGTTTATTCTCCTTCGTCCGTGTTTGTTTGCGCTATTTTTACATTATGATCAACGGATACCAACTAGCCCAACTCTCGACATTAATTAAGCCATGGAGTATTTTGGCAGCTGGCTAACCGAGTACTTACTAACCTGGCACCTGTCACCTTCCCATTGTTTTGCGTAAATTTTATTGGAATGGTGGACAGCAGAACAACAAAGTCAACATCGTGAACACTCAACAGTCTTCTTTGAAAGTGGCGATCTCTTTTACCTCTACCTGGAGACCATCCCTAACCGTGAAATGATGTCACAATACCGAGGTGGGCGTCTGCCACCGGCGTTATCTCTGCAGTTGAGCAGATTTTGTTGTTCCACTCGTTGGTCTATAGGTTTTTCCAAGTCACCAGGCTTGATTTAAAATGGACCGTAAAATTCGACGCCTGTACGTAGCAATCTAAACTTTTCGTCAAAGGTGCAATTCAGAGGTCGGTTTTTCATTGTAAACTTACAAAGCGTAACTCCCTTCCTGTAAAAAATTGTGCCAACAAACTTGCCAGGGTCAACGGCGGGCGGCGACGCAGACGAGCAAGTCGAGTTGAGGGGCACGTTTGACGCGCGTATTGATAGATGGCGTTGGCAGCAGCGTCGGAAGGTGCAGCCAATCAGCGAAAGAAAGCAGACGACACGCAGACGAAATCCGTTGGCAGCAAAAGCGCCGTCATTGTGCAGACGCATAATTGTCTGCATTTAGTTTTTAGCGAAAGCTACATTTCAAAAGGATTATGTTCATTTTAATAAACTACCGTGGTCGCGAGCCGTCTCGATAAGGAGGTAGGACCATCTATCAATACGCGCGCCAAATGCGCCCCGCAACTCGACTTGGTCGTCTGCGTCGCCGCCCGCCGTTGACTCTGGCAAGTTTCTTAGTCCAATTTTTTACAAAAAGGGAGCTACGCTTTCTAATTTTATTTTACAAGAAAAGACCGACCTGTGAGATACATTTTTGACGAAAAGTTTAGATTGCTACCTGCAGGCGTCGATTTTTACGGTTCATTTTAGATCGAGCCTGGATACTGGGGCCACCCTATATGTTATCTGGATTTAACAAGACTGGTACATCACACGTCTTATTCGCATACTGCGGCGCTCGAGAATAATACACTCTCCTAGTTCACTCGCCTTGTGTTATGCCCTTGTGCCTAGTACAGGCCAGCGATGAGACTGGTGTGGATATAACTCTAGATGTTTCACTGTCATTAGATTTGTCATCGCTGCCATTTCTGCATCGGGTCATGCCAGCTCAATTATGTACTTTCGCTTCTCTCGTTTGTGAAGTCGTCCTTTCCAGTAGAGGTTTCTATGATCAAACCTCGGTCGTCCTAATCCACGCCAAATCGAAAAAAAAAACAAAAAAAAAAAACGAAGGCGGGCATCCTTAAGGAGTCACATATGTCGTTGCAGGGATAATGAGGGTGATATTGTTTATTCGCGGATGACCGGGCACAACTCTAAGTAAAATTTTATAAGAATAGAATAAGATAAACGATAAAACAAAGTTCAACCCTCTTATTGTTGCTCTTTTATTTAACAGGCATTATATTTTATCACGAGTTCACAAGACCCGCGAGTAGGAATCAAACTGAGGTTCCCAACAAACTCTACTCAAGCTCAATATAACGGCAATGATTCAGTCGTATAGCCTATATTGAGAGTGATTTCTCTTTCCATGAGAGAAGTACAGTTCACTTTCTCATAAAACTGGAGTTGATTAACCTTTCCTCCCTTTCTTTAATAGCACTTTCACGTTCATTACTTTGCCCAAATCGACTCTGCTTAGACACTGATTAGAGGAACCTTTCCTGACCGGTTAATAAGTGAAGTTAACACGTTGCGTTATTACGAACATTGAGTTGGTGGAGAGGAACCAAAGGATAACGCAATATATTCAAACCCTGGAATCCGCACGGATATACCCCCAAACGACCAAGGCAAGCTCAAGAAGAAAGGGTCAGCCAATAGGAAGCAACCAAGACTAAGGTCTGCCGCTCTTGTTATCATAGGACCAGCTCCCTTCCGTCTCTACACTTCTTCAGGAGCATTTTTTCTTCATATTTTTAGTCCCCGATTTGCCTTCCCGCAAGAGGGCAAGGAACTGCGCTATGCTGATTGAGCTACAACCAGAGGGGAACCCCGGGCTCGAGCCCGGAACTAGCTCCTTAATTCAGAAGGTGTCTGTTTTTACAAGAAGTGACGAGTCGCCAACATGAATTATTCACCGCACGGAGCATCAGCGGCCTCCGGCAGGGCGTCTCTGCTGCCTGACCCCGTTGTTGATGCTGGCGACGGGGAGCTGAAGGGTTCTGAAGAGGGTGACCGTGCAGACCTTCTCGGATGAGTATTCAATTTTGGAATTTCTACGTGTTCCGCAAAATATAGTCGCTCCAAGGTTTGATCCTGAAAGTTTAAAGAGATTCAAAAGAATCACCTATCGGATTATTAGAAAACCTAAATTGATATTGCCAGATGCCATGGCCTCGGTGTTCACTCTCCTGCCAGCCTGCGTAGAACTATAGATGGTACAGTACGACATACACTGGCCATACCGGCGCGATGATTTCGCATCCTGGTACCCTCTGGAAGCCGTAGGAGAAACTTGTATTTATTTGAGGAATATTTTAGATTACTTTTGTATGCACACGTAAACACAATGAACACGATGCCCTTGTCTGTCTTTATTATGTGACCTTTGTTGG